GGGGGGGGGGAGTGCTCTGCCACCTCTCTGGTGCCGAGTTGTGTCGGTCAAGTGTGCCGCCCGCCCATCAACTTGCTTCACAGTCACTGCAAAGTCTTGCCTGACTACTGTATTTGAATTGTAATTGTTGTTCACAGTTCGCTTATCATCATGTTATTACTCAAATTACTGCATCTCATTTTGCCTCTAATAATTTTTTGCTTTATCATGAAAAATAGCACCCACTGCACCCCCTCTGGCCAGGCCGGCTAGGGGGGTGCACCCCCCCCCCCAGTAAATCCATCCCTGGTTGCATGCACGTACAGTACATGAAAAGAAACTGCATGATAAAATATAACTAAACTTTCTTTTTCTAAACTTCTTAGTTATCAAAATATGTTTTGATATAATTTTTTCTTCCATAGTAGAACAAATGAATTTTAGAAGTGGGACAATCAATATTTTTATAAAGAGCGCCAAACGAGAATAGAGACCTATATGCAAATTTTGTTTCAAAAGTATTAGAGTGTTTCAGATAATATCGAAAACGTTTAACTGCCCAACCACTATTGGCGGTTGTAAATTGGGATAAAAATTCTCAGTCAGTACCCTTGAAAATCTTTCATATGCGATATTATAACAAAAGGTGTGATATAGTTCTGTTATCGTCTATAGGATTCCTATAACTATATTTACAAGATTATGTTGATGCTCTGTGATCAATTAATATTCATCCATTCGCCGAATGTGTTATTCATGCCCTGACTATATTGGTGTAAATTTATATGAATATTGGTAGAAATATATTCTGCATATCAATTTGGGACTTGTTTTGCTCCATCTCATTACACGTATAATCGAGGCATGTTAATTTGAAATTTCAGCGGATTTCGTTGTATCTGTATGTTAAGTCAGTAATGATTATTTTCGTGAAGCGTGAATAATTTGTTTAAGGAATTGTTATTTAACTATTTCTCGTTAAAAGTGAAACCTTTATTTATTTTACGTGAAACGAGATTTAAAAAACAATTTTCCGTGAAACGTGATTATAAAATTTTGGGAGAGACCATTTTATTGAAGTTGTTTTATATAGAGAAAAAAGAAACACTAACGAACCATTGATTCTTTATCAATTGCACCCTGAAATTCATAAACTGTACAATTTCTACGCCGTTAATGATGCTAGATAAAGCCTCCCGCGCACAAGAACTTTTGGCTGAGCTAATCGCCACACGTGACAATTAATATACACGGTTTTTGCTGCGGAATTTGACACGCGCGAGACGGTGCAAGAAAAATTCTATAGTGTTTGATTATTTTGTCCACGCGAGGCAAGGATCGCAACATGTGTGGACGTTGTGAGTTATAAGCTCATGCAGCTGTGAATATGTAGTAGCCAATAAAAACACGTATCTTTCTCACGTGGTACGTGATATTTGCCGTTATTTTGAAATTTAGAGCGAAATAAAATATTAGCTTAGCTAGCACTTTACTTTATGTTTGCGACAAACATATAGAGATGAGCTGATTAACCGGCACGCATGAAGGCTAGCCCAGCCCATCCTCGTCCCCAGAGCCACGCTCGTTGCTGTCGCTCAGTGGAGCAACTAGCGTAGCCCTGGGGACGGGGATGTGCCCAGCCAAATCCTGACGTGTGCGGCAGACTTAAATGCAATATATGCATATATGTCCGCAGCTGCAACACTACTGTGCCGATACTCGATACAAACCTGATTAAATATGTCAAAACACTATTTCTACGTTATAACTGCAGGTAGCGGCTACAAGCAAGCGCCAGGATCCTTCATATTCTCGCTTCGCAACAAAGAAAATCTCCCGCCTTTTAAAGTTCTGCTGAATGATCAAAATGGGAACGCAATTCGCACAGGAAATAATTATGGACCAACATTTGGAAATGGTCATGATATATACATATCTGATGATGCTGCTTCGAATACCAATTCATACACATATTTTAATTATGCCTACCAAACTCCATCTGGTGTCAGCGACACAAGGACCATCCTGGCAGGAACCTACAACTTTCAACCGTCAGAAGTTGAAGTTTTCCATATCGGCTAGAACTTATCTCAATATATATTCGTGCACTAAATATTCATATTTCTCAAACTAAATTTAACGTGCTCATGCAACGAAATTTCCCACCATTTTTTTATGATTGCGTTGTAAAGAAAATCCAAGTAGACCTTATGCATAATGACGTCACAATTATCCTTTATTAAATTGTATTACAGCAACAAATGGAAAATTTTGTATTCAATTACAATAAAAATACGTTGCATCATCAAAAAACGTACAAAAAATCGCATTTACAACTTTTAAACAGTCTTTTATTCTTTTTTAAATGTGAAAATTGAACCAAAATGTCGCAATAAGGACTGGGTTCTAGGTCAAAAACGCGTTTTTGACGGCGTATAACACGAAAACAATCTGAGATATAAAAAGCTCGTTAAATGTCTTATATGTAGGGTTTTGTAAGCTTTCTGATGATTTTGTTGTACTTGAATACAAAATCTTTCACATTTTTTTGCTGTAATACGATTTAATAGAGGATAATCGCTGATCACTCATTTTCTCGGTATTGGGCAGGTTTTTCGCTTGGGAACTTTTTGTGGTAATTGAGCATCTATGGTAGAATGCATTGAACCACAGAAATCTATTCTCCATGAGGGTGCCACGAAATTGCTTTTCTTAAGGGGGTCCAATACTAAAAATTTGACTTTATGGGTGAAATTTATGAATTTTCAAAAAACTCAAAATTAGGTTCTTTGAAGCCTTATCAAACATTACTGAGACTTTTATTGTAAAAAAAAAACATACTAAGTTAGGGAAAAATGACAAAATACCAAGGGCTTTGAATATTTCCGCCATAGCAACGCGCTTAGCAACCAAAGTTTGCTGTTTGAAATCGAGGTAAAAATTGTTTATAAAATAGTGATGTACAATTTTAGGCTACTAACATGAAGTAATTGCTGCACTATAGCCTTCCCTTACCGCTTGACAACCTTCTCTTACACGTGGGCTTCTTTATCATTCTCAAAAATATCACAACAAGCGATTTTCGCTGTCTTTCTGTGTGATTTATTACACCAAATTTTTGCTTATTTCCGAATAATCTGCAATTGTTTCACTGTTATTATGGCAAGAGAGAATTCAAGGACAAAATAAACGGCGATTTAGTGGAAATAGATTTGTTAAAAATGCAAAGAAATCGTGTACAAATGGACCCACCAAAATTGTGCTAACAGTAAATATGACGCCGATGCTCAATCAACTTCCAGTGCAAGTGTTTCAGCTTCATCGCGAAAAATCAACGTTATAGAATCGCCAAATGCCACTAAAGAATCGCTACATGCAACAGGCTATCGTTTCATTGATATAGAAATTCTCAGTGAAGTTTTTCAGCAAGTAGTTTGCTAAGAATGTGGTGAATCCTCATCCCTTGTGCTTGAAGATAAAAAAATCGAACGGAAGGATTGTGCATCTCATCTCCGTTTGCGATGCGAGGAATGTGGTTGGGATTTTTCGTTTTATTCTTCAAATAAGGTAAAGAAATCCTTTGAATAAAAGGCTTGTTTATGTCATGCGATCCATTGGTATTATTTGGTAAAGGACATGCCTCCGTGAAAAGATTCTGTACTCACATGAACATGCCATCACCAGCATACCGAGATTGTAATATATAGCCCTATCAAAAGCTGCTAACTCTGTTGCTACCAAGTTTATGAATGATGCAGCTGTTGAGGTTCATGGTGAAAATCCTGGTCAAATAACCCAATGTGGTGTCTTGTGATGATACCTGGCAAAGACGAGGATATTCATCGCTCCATGGGTGTGTCACAACCCTATCCATTGACGGACACCTTGATTGACAAACTTCAAAACTATTATGGCATTGCCATTAGAAGTAATTGTGGAAATTTGGAGTGAATGAAGGCTGCAATTTATGCCAGCATTATCCATTGTGTCTCATCAAAGAAGCGAAATTTACATACTTGGTGTCTTGATGGTCCGGACAGCTGGTGCCGCTTTAAACAAGACAAGGCAAATAGTACTGACTTATATAAGTGTGGACATGGTCTTCCAGACAACATCATTGCTCAGATTAGGCCCATTTATGATAGACTAAGTAGTAATGATTTGTTGGTCAAATGTTTCGATGGGAAAACTCAAAACCAAAACGAATCGTTGAACGGCATGATTTGGAACAGGCTTCCGAAGAGAATTTTTGTGGGTGGAAATGTTCTGTAGTTGGGTGTGTATGATGCTGTTGCTCATTTCAACATGGGTTCAAGGGATTCTGTTGATATCTTACAAGATGGGCTAGTTCTTGGCTATTCTTTTGAAGAGGTTGTCTGCAAAGCTGATAAAAAGCATGTAAAGAAAGAAGATCATCGAGCTAAGCCGGATGTCAAAAAGAGGAGGAAGGTGGTGTATGGCCAGAAAACGAAGAGGGAAGATAGAAATCAGGAAACAGAAGTCAATACCTATGAGGCAGGGACCTTTTAACACTAAACTGGTCCATTCATAACGTTTATTAATCAATTGTAGGTCAATATTGTTCTGAAAATGAATATGTTCAACTTTAAAGCAGTTTTTCTCAAAT